ATCCCACGGTATCGAGCGCTCGCTTTCGTGCCTGCAAAATATCTCGCTTTTGCCATCAGCCGTTCCTCTTTTTCTCGCAGATCCACTTTTCCGTCCTCTTCCGCTCTTTACACTGCTGCCTTCTTTCTCTCTTTTTCTATCTTTCACCCTTTTCCTCGCGCGCAATCTCTCTACATATGTAAGAATCCTTTTGACTGGCATTGTGTATATAGCAGGACAACGCCGGACGAGAAAATCCTCAAATCCTTCAGCCTTCGCCCATATTCGAGGGATAATGGCACATAATGGCTATCGCGTATAATGTCGAAACGATCGAGTCGAAGTTATTGAGCGAGCGAGTCAGGGTAGTGGAGGAGAATTAAACGTCTTACAATCCGAGCTTCACGAGCGTAATAGCGTCGTATTTTGCGAAAGAGTTAGAGCGAAGCTGATTGAGAAAATACAATAGAGCACGCGCTAGTTGTCGTATTGTGGCGTAAACTCAACGATAATTGCGTCGACGGCGATAATTACTATTAAATAAATCTGATAATCGTTATAATGGCAGGGAGAGCAATAGGGGGAAAATTACAATAATATTGCTAATGCAAGCATATCGAGTCCTCGCGTGCGTACAGTAAAATGTTCGCTTCACGCCAGATATTCTGTAAACATGCCGACTAAAAATTTTAATTCATCGGCAAATAGAAAAATATGAGTATTTTAGAGAGAGAGAATATAAACTACACGAGCGTTACGATGCTTCGACGTATCGAAAATTTAAAGAAAAAAAGATACGCGCGTTCATAAATCAATCTGTTATTTTAGTATTTATAGCGCGTGAATTTATACACGACTGTCGGTCATGCGTGAGAACACGTAGATCGGTTACGTCGCGTGTGACTACTGGTTTCGTTTAAATCATGCACGACGGAAACTGACGTCGGATGTTCGTAATTCGTCAGAAAAGAAAGAGAAATAGAGTGAGAGAGAGAGAGGGGGGAGGAGGGGGACGCAACAAAAGTGCAGTTGCGGAAATCACAGCTTACGTAAGCAATTGAATCAAACGATTCTTTATTAAATCGTTTTCAAGTAAGATCGTACCGAGCACTCGACACTTAATTCCTCCTCTCTCGGCCAGAAACCCTCTTGATAACATTGATTTTCCTACCGTAGAGAGACGAAAGCCACGACATTCTTCGATTACGTGCTCTCACTAGCGAAAGAAATGCTCGTCGCGAGAAGCTCAACATTCGCATCTACTCTAAGCGACGCGGAACCTCGAAACAGCTTCAACGAAGACAAATGATTCCGTGAAACTGCTTCTTTTTACTTTCGAAGCAAGAGCAGTTTTACTTATGCGCGGCACGTTACTAACAATACGCAAATACCAGAGGTATTTTAATAACGTAATGATTTAATTTTTACCATTCTTCGTATATTTAAAATAATTTGTTACAGAGACCTGCGATAACATCATTTGTCGCGGCTTTCTAGCAATTTGTTGTTCACGATTATCCCAAAAAAGTTTTGATAAAAGAGACACTTATATGTCAACAATAATTATAATGTCAAGTAAATTTCGGTGAAGACAATACACATAATTCTTTTACAAAAAAGTTTACAAATGTTTACATAATACGTCATCTATTAAAAGAGAAAAGAAGAACGTGAAAATATTTGTTATGCCTCATCGTCATGGAAAGCAATTTTCTTTAAAATTGTAATATCTACCCTTTACCGTGTCATACGTCATTATTTCATATTCCCGGTTACATCTTGTCAGGCGGCCTTTCGTACTGCCCGATCAATACTTTTTTCACAGTGTGAGAATAAAAAAATCAATGAATTCCAATGTGTCATCCTCTCGACGAAAACTCTGGTATGTTGCAGGCGTAATTGCGTTCCCCTTACAGCGATATATAATGTACGTACAAAGGAGACCACCGTTGTTGAACGAAGCTCAATGTAACATTCGCTATACCTTTCTCAACAAAATAAATTACAAACAAGCGATATAAGAAAGTATATTGAATTTTAAATAATAACGACTGGCCTGAATAATTTTTGTACAATTTTCGTACGGGTCCTGTGCGAATATTATCACAAATTATTTCGTATACTATTACACTACAGAATAATAGTACTTTGTATAAATTTTACTCGGACAAAATAGTTTTATAAAATTTAAATAATATGATATCGCTGGTTTCAGGAATTCTAATATCGTGACAGTGTGATGTGATAGATAAGAACGCGAAAAGTGAAGATGGTGAAAAATAGTAGTAGTAAAAAATAGTAAAATGACATATATAATAGTCACCACATTTTGTAGAAATTTTATTCTACGACAAAATTTTATAACTTTGGCTTTTATCGTATAAACGACCGCGTTCAATCTTCGATCTTCCAATCTCGCCCATCTTTATCCCAGACGATCGACACTTTTTCCCGTCCCGTCATAAGAAAAACACGTACGAAAGATAGCGAAAATCCGTCGTGTCACTCTACAAAATTACATCGTGTCGTTGCCAAAGTTATATAAAGAACGTGCACCTTACGAGCAATGAATATATTTACAAATCATAACTATTGAACTATAAAATATTTCTTTTGTAAAACGCACGTTGGGGAAATAGCTGAAGATATATCACAGTCTTTCAAGAAATGTTTTCTCTTTCACAACAAACAAGTTATTATTTTTCATTCAATCGTAAGTATTAATGATTCAGCTGTGTAATGTTTCTTTTGCAACTAAATAAATATACAGTTTTTAATAATTGCATGAAGTATTCATATTTATTACTTAATTATGATTTACGTCACTTGTACGTTCTTCAATTTCGTATATTAAAGAAAGAGCTGAAATGCTTATAAAACTTTATTTGTAAATTTTGCCTAGTACCTTCCTTTATTTTCTACTTTACCGAGATAACGGTATCCCGTTTCTTGGAATATTCAATTAGCGCCTTTGCATTTAATGAAGACGAACGCTCAAGCAGCGTCAGGATAACCGCAAACGTTATCTAGTTACTTGCAAAATCGAATCTACCTGCAGCTGTGATACGCGCGTAGGAAATTTCCTTTTACCCGAAGATGTTTGTGACCGAAGATGCATATGTATATTTCAAATAATGTAATTTACAAAGGTTTATCGTAAACTGTCTTTTCACTTATTATCAAACTGTAAGACATATTTCTGGTCAATTGCAGTTTTCTGTAATAAAAATTTGCCTATTACTGACTTTATAATTGAATGTAAATTCTTCTATTTCTTATAATTATGTCAAAAGAGCTTTCCGAAGAAGATAAAGGATGGGCGTAAGACATAAGAATAATATCTGTTTTACACTCTTTGTATAATATTTTCATCTTACGCAATATATTATCATGAAAATATGGTATATTAAATTTCTATCGGAGAGCCACGATGTTAAGCTGATTAGTTTTTTAATGAGAAAATAATAATAAAGAAAATCTCGGAATAATGTAATATTCATTTTCAATAATGGGTAGAAAAATATTATATAGCAAAATTAGCTAATGAGCGATACAGAATTTTATGCAATAAAGCTGCAACGGCAACGTAACAATAATAGTAATAAAATCATCTTCAATTTTTCTTTGTCTCTTTAAATTAATTTAAAACTATAAACAAGAAGAAACTTAAGTAATTTGTTTCTAAAACTTTTCAGATGTCAAAATTATTCAATTACATTTTACATGTTTATTTTATGGACTGAAGAATTCATGTTTCTTTAATATAAAAATATATTTTATTTTATATTACTAAGAAAATGTGTAAAATGGATTCTGATAACACTGTAAGCTGCGTGATGGTAATTAAAATAATTACCAATAATACTAAAGTCTAGGTACGAACATGCATTCGGTATTTTTCATAGTACCTTTTATCTAGACACGCATAGTATTTGTCGATTGATAAACCATCTTTCATTGACCGCTAAAGCTTCAATAACTCATATTTTTAGGAAAGATATACATATTCTTACTTTCGGATCTTTGAATATTTTAGTATTAATTTTAAAGCCAAAAGGATATTAAACAATGTAAAAGTATGTATCGCACAGTACAAATCGATGAATGTAATATTATATAAAATATATAAAATTATGTAAAAACTTCGAAAGATTTTTTAATTTATATATTAACAAACAAGAATTTTATCCCAATATATTCCGCTCTTATCATGTTTCGATCAACTTTTTTATGTAGCAATTAAAGCAGGAAGTAAAATATGCTGTATGTTTTATATACAAAAAACACGAAAATAGAGCTAATCTTTGATCGTATACAAAATATCTATTGGTACCATCCTTTGCCATTAACTGAAACTCTGATGCCATTAATCTTTATAGTTAGAGTACGAATGTAGTCATCACGATATTTCTTATCTTATCTATTATCATTCTATTATTATTGTCATTTGTTATCTTATTGCTATGTTACAATATGTTATATAATGTTGATTTCTACTATAATAGAAAAAAAAACGCAAAAGTAGTATATACAGAAATATAAATTTTGATCGAAAAAACTTTTAAAAATTAAACAAACTATGATAAAACATTTCAAAATAATTAACTGTTTTAAATATTTATAATATTTAAAATATTTATGTATTTCAATTACATATATTTCTTATTTAATTTACACTTCTTTGCTTTGTAAGTAATTTGGCATAAAAATATAATAAAAACTTGTAACTTTTTACATTACCTAAACATAAATTTTTATATTTTAAAATGTCTTTATACGTAAATAATACTACAGATAATCGTTATTACGTTAGAAAAAAACACTACATCATTCATAAATTCTTTTTTAAATAGATACTAATTAATATTGTACCTATAAATCTCAATGTATCTTATCGAAAACTTGACAATTGTATCTTATTGTATTGAAAAGCCAATACAAATTACAATCAAGAATGAAATAATTAAATAATTTATATTTAAGCGCAATCTTACAATTAGTTTATTTCTTTCAAAACTCACCTTGCACCGTGGACGATTACAGTCCTCGATCTCTTTTAGACTTTTTCAGGACAACCTGCATCCGCCGCGTTCTACGAAATCTGTGATCTTGCCATTGTCTCAACGCGAGAAATTCTCTGCCCCGCGTAAATTTGTCATTTTGAATACTTCCGTTACTATTTGACACGATATCACGGTTTTCAATTGCATCTTTGTTATCTGATAAAGGAATTAATAGAGCAAATTGTCGAGTCACGCAACGAATGTGCGAAATGGAAGATTACGTCGCCGTCGGTTCATTTCTTTCTCAATACCAAAGATTTCTGTTTTGCTGAGCCTCGTGGCATTCACCCGGTTGTGCCTTCGCTTGGCCTCATGGACGATGCGTTTCCCTTGATTGGGTGTCCCTCGTTCGCTTCACATCACGACGATGACACTCGCAAATATTGTAGAAACACAAGTCGTTCGCTCCGTCTCTTCTTTACGTGGCATCTTCAATCGTTTATACGATAGTGTGAACTGATAGTCGCAAACTGTTCATCGGTTATTTATCTTTGGGATCTTTGACTCTATCCGGCAGTCTTCTCTATCTTCGAGTTGTGACAGGTACGAATGTTTCCAGCTGGATGTACTTACAAATCGCTCCGCCACGGAAACGCGCGTCGGAGGAATCTTCGCCCGGGAGAGACTCCCTCGTTGTTGGCACGCGGTGTAAGATGTGAGGAACGGGGACAACTTCTAGAGCACACGTGGAGCGAACGTGCGTACTACGTGCGTGGGTGGTAGCGTACTACTGAGTTTCACGTTCGCGAAAAGCCAATCCCGACCCACCCCCACCGCATCGCATCCTAGGCACCCTTCCAGGTCCTCTAGCACCCCCTTTGCCTCCCCGTTTTACCGCCCAGGACTCGCGCACAGGCACAGTCTCCTCTCTCCTCTCCCTCCCCCCTCCTTCTCTCTCTCTGTTTTTTCCCTTCTTTTCCTCTCCCGGTCGAAAGTGAGTTTGTGCCTCTATTCGCTCCGTCGCGACCACACTCGTACGCTCTACCGTTTCGCTTCTCTCCGCTAACAATAACGCTCGCGACAATTTCTTTCACTCATTGGGTTTACCTCGCTCGCAGACGGTTTCGCCCGACTGTCCTTTTAGAGAGAGATAAAACGTTCGTTGGGGTAAGGGCGATTTACCGTACACAGGGTGTCTCAGATCTACCGCGCTACTTTTCGTTTATCGTCAATGCCAAATTTAACGCCGGTTCGTCTTTGTTATAACAAGAGTATTGTGACACGGAACGTTTCTCGAACGACCCGAAAAATTAAACAGGACTAAGATGGAGCGAATAAAATTATCAGAAGCGACGCGAAAATTAATAGATCAGATTAAAAGACACTTTATATTTGCATTTCTACTTTGGGAAAAAACTTACGAAACGTAGAATAAGTAACGCTCTTATATATTTTCAGCAATTTCCTTCTTGAAGGGTTGCAGAAAATGTTCTTTAAAGGATATACTAGAACACAGTGGTCGTAAGATGCACTATTTGCGGAAACTTTTTTTTACGAAGAAAACTGTTTTCTCCTGAAACATGTTTTGGTAAAATATACAAATATTTCTATTTGTTTTATTGATATGATGCAAAATTAAAAAGAGAATTTTGTTTTTAAAATCTCTCTAGTATTTGTTAATTGATTACGCCAATATATCTTTCCGAATTCTTTTTGATAAACGGCCTACTCCAATATTTGCGTTTGACTTCCCCGTTTAATCGTATTTCTAATGAGAAACGAATGATTACTTGACGGTCGCTGTGGAAAGGATGAAACAGTGTTTGAAGAATAAATCCTCCTTTGTCTCTCCTGAGCCTCTTTCTCGTAGATAATATCGCGATTATTTCGCTTTTCCTCCTGACAGTTGCATTGTGTTTGTCATTTTTATGTATTCCTCTCGTACAAATGCAGAAAGATGGTCTGCTTTTCAATCGTAATGAGTCGCTCTCGGACGAAGAACGGAAAACAAACTTGGAAGGTCTTAAGGTATAACGATTAAGTAAATTAGCTAATTAAAAGAACTCACTGCAAGTTGAAGCATTGTAATAGATAACGTTGTCGTGTTATAAGAAACCTCAAAGTCGGTAGAATTTCTGTAAGTGTCGGAGTAGAAGCAGATATTTTTTTCTTTACGCGCAGCGTCGAAAATTATACTGACTGCAAGCGTTATTTCTGTTACATCTTACATCCTCCGAGCGTAGCCGAATAACATTTATTCTTAGTAAGATTTAACGGCGCACCAAAGACAATCCTTTGCGCCCTCGATTTAATCAGCCGAGACGATATCTGCTATTAAAACGACTGATAAGCTTATCAGGACAAAATTGCACGGGTTTTTTTTCCGAAAATTTCGCGGATCTCTCTCTCTCTCTCTCTCTCTCTCTCCCCCCCTCCCTCTCCCCTCTCTCTCTAACCTTTCCATTTGGCTTCCTCTTGTTATGCTCGAAATTCCCCGTCGATCGTCGCTAAGGTGAACAATTTGATTCTTTATAGGAAGGTTTTTGATAAGATGGGTCTTTTACAAATGGCCAACGATAAGAATTTATCACCGGGATTTTTAGCTTTTTTCACTTTTCTTGACAACGTTGAAAGTCGATCAAAAATATATGCGGAGTTACGGAGTTTACGCATACAAAATAACTTACGGAATAACTTAAGTCGTTTAACGAACCGTTGCATAAAAAAAATCATATCGTTGCCTGACTTAATATACAATAAGTAAGATTCCCTTTCTCAAAAGACACACGTTTCTTTCTACAACGCTATTGCAGTTTGATCTCGATGTAGCCTGTCACATGTGCTTGAATATTAGCGAAATTGAATGTGTGCAAAATTTTGATCACAAATGTCAGACATAATAGCCGGAGAAATTCGAAATAAATATCTCGATAGAGTCTTATTTAGGCAGCTATCGGAATCCCCGCATTTCGCGCGCACGCGAAGTATCTTCTAAGTTTCGCGCACGTCTGAAATTTCCCAACAATTTCGAGTATTAGCCGCTGACTGAAGCGAATTACTACGGCCGCCGCCATCGATCTGAGCCGAAAAATGTTAATATCGTTGTAGCGCAACGTGGAATATCGTAGAAACGAATCTGGGTCATTTCTGTCCGGTTAGAATTTCGCTTCTATTAAGCTGTAGTCTATTATGTCCATATGGCTCTTGTAAATCACGAAGGCAACAGAAACTTCTTTGTGTTTCTTTATTTTTCCGACCGACATTCGACTCGATCTTGGACACGCGGTGTACAAACGCGCTCTTTCCTCGTCCAACTCCCCAACTGTAACGATTCGCGCGAGCTGATATATGTCATCGGCAAGGTCGCCAAGTACAAGTATCTGCAACAAGAGTTAGAAAATTAAAAATGTTACAAGAAAAGTTACGGAGCTTTCGGAACTTCCATTTCAACGGGCGTGATAATAGCGAGAACGAACTTGAGATATCTTATGAAGTTGCGATATATAAACTGTTTGTACTCAATATATGTCGAAGTACATTGATTATCAAATATCGCAAATGGCATACTTTTCATATATGCGTAATATTACCTTTAACACACGAAGAGGCAACCCATCTCTGAGTCTAACATCTCTGAGAATCAACGTCGTTTATAACGATCGAGATTACTATCTCCACGTGAAAAATTAACTCGCTCGTAATTGGACATGGCACAGTATTCCGCGCCTAAGACAATCTCAGCGTAGATGATTGATCGAGAGCAATAAATCTCGTTGTAGGGCCGAGGGCGTTTCTTGACTAAGAGAGTCGTTGAAAAAACGTCGGGATAAATGGATAAGGAGAGACGGTAGGTGAAACGAAGAAGCGAGAGAACGGCGCGGAAAGCAGCGCAGGAAAGACCGAAGACGAACGGTTCGCTCTTGAGTAAGATTTACAAAGCTGAGAGGGAGAAATAAATGTTCGCCGCGCGACAAATAGACCCGAAGCAGGGATACTGTCGCTGGGAGCCCCGGCGCATTTTAAAAGGCACATTATACAGACAACCTAGATTATGTATTACATCGTCGTTTTAATAATACCGGGGAATTTCGACGCGGAATTTTGAGAGAATCCTGTTAAATCTTATTTTATCAAATACTTTACGTAAATACACGCATATATAAATAGCTTGAAATGTAACGCTTTTACTGTACTATCAATAGATAAGTGTCTACAATTGGTAATTAACTCGTGTACAATTTTTACTTTTTTCAGAAAGAAGAGAAAAACAATTCTACTTATCGATTTGCTTAAAATATGTGAATGTATGTATATGAAAATCTCGAATGTTATTGGTAAGCAAAAAGTTTTGAAAATTGTATAAATCTTCAATGTTCCCAAAACATATTTCTTTAAATAATGTTTTATATAGCAATTCTTTATTTTATACAAAAAAGAGGCAGACAATTTTATTTAAAACAATTTTAAAAGTTTTGGGTAATTATGTAAATCATGAATGAATTTTCTAATATGTTGTAATTTCTAATAAATCATCAATAAATATTTCAAGTATATTGTATATATATATATCTATTTAATTACGTTCTGTTTTATATTATTTTATACGAAGATGCAGGTTTTAGTTTCACAAATTTTTAATGCTTTAAGTACTTCTGAGGAAAGATATTTTAGACAGATATGTCTTAAGGCTTTCATGACATTTAAAATCTTCAAAATGTACCAAGATTTTCCACAATCTTCGGTTTCCTTTAATATCCTTGGTAATTAGAATACTTGTATGCTGATATTGCTTGAGAATTAAAAAAAACAGATTCGCGGGCTAATTATTGCGTACGACTCTTCGATACGATTTTTATCTGACATTTTGGGTCATCTAGTTTTTCAAATTGTTTATTGATGATGCATATGCGGCTGGCGTCAAGGGTGGAGTGCAAACACCGAAAGCTCTCCGACACAGAAGGTAAAATGTCGGTGTTGCAATAACACCGAATAGCATCCCTCGACCGACCGGGTAGGCATCCGCCTGCTATTCGGCGGGAGCTAGACGACTTCCAACTTTTATTTGACTAGACTAGCCGGCGCCCTGGCTCCGATAGTCTGGCCGTTACCGCTATAGGGGGACAGCGCAGACAAAGTGACGAAGCGGCGCGGGGGTTGGGATTATCGGTGCACCGAGGCGGCTGGATGCGAGAGGGAGAGTGATGGCCAAATGTGCCGGAGGGAGAGGGCCGAGTCGTAGAGATATCGATTCATCCAAATCCACGGTGCCGGCACAAATGGGTGCATGGACCGGCGGCCTCGCGTCCATCGCGCGATACCAGATTACATCGCGTTATGTTGTGCAACGGGGGGGGGGGGGAGAGGCGGTTTCATTTCCTCCGTTCGCTCGCCCATCCCTCCCGCCCCCGTCTAACCGATGTAAATTCCATTATTGGCCGATTGATTCCGCCGCATTAAACGCGGCGACGCGTGTATATCGGTTACCCCCCGCATTTATACGATCATCCAAACGACGGCCTGGGGCCTTCAGGCTTAAGCTTGTCAAGCGTGCTCGCATTTCTTTAGCGGAACGAGAGGAAAATTCTGGG